TGAGCCCCAGCCCCCCCAACAACTTAGGCCAGAGCCCCCCCAAACAACTCTGACCCAAAGATGATTTGGGGGGCGCTGCACTATTACGGATTCTGGATGTTTGGGGGGGGGGGTTACTAATCAGGAGCCAACATTACATACATACATACATGCATACATACGTGCATACATACATGCATACATACATGCATACACACATACATAGATAGATTAAACACATGCATTCAGAGACGCATGCGGTCATACATGCTGCCCGCACGCGTTCATGCACCTATGGGTCCATGCGCACATGCACCCAAACGTCCTCCCATCGATATCTTCGTTCCGTCCATCCAACCCCAAAATCTATGGCGCATGCTACGCATGCGTGAGTGTATTGTCCTCGTGACTACATAGGTGTATGCACTCGTTTGTGCATGAACACAAACATCGCATTCAATCTGATGGCGCCAAATTGCTGAATGTATCTTCGGCGGTGGCTTGCTATTCTATCTCATCATCAGTGAGTTCATATGCTGCTTGCACAATCTCCCGTCCGTTCTCGTAGCTCTGTACACTGTGCGCATTGGGTTTGTGGGGGAATCGGAAAGGTCGTAGCTTACCAAATTTCGGACCCATACTGCCGAGGGACGGAATTCGACAGACCTGGCCACGCTCAAACTGACGAAGAGATGTTCAAACCTATAAACGTTACTTGTATGCATGTATACATACACATGCGCAGGTACGGTCCGTGATTCGGGTGGAAAAACGACTGGCACCACAGAACCTGCACCGCAATAGCAAAATCCTTGGAGGAAACACGCGCTCGAGACGCGCCGACAATACTAGTACCCCAAGGCAGTTTCGGGAGGCAGAAATACGAAAGACTGTATACAGTAGGCAAACGATGTCCAGCACAGCATGAGGACTTGAGTGACTTCGCAAATTCGAAACGAGCATGCTTCAACACACCGCAACATGCGAGCGGCACAGTGTAAATTGTTACAACGACATCTATGTCCGGGACGAGCCCGATGTGGAATCCAATAAAATCGCGTTCTGGTGGGAATTGTGGACAGGAGCGGCGCACACAGTAGCCAATAGTTACTGTTCTCCAGGTAAGAAAACCATGAGGTCACCACAAGCTTGGTCCACAAATGCTCGACGCCTTTCCTTTCAGTCGAGCTTCATTTTGTCGGAGGTTCTCATACACCTCAGTTGACGACAAACCCAACGATGCAAAACTAGTTGCATCTCCTGCTTGCAGAACGATGTTTGACTTGCGCACGTCTGCAACTCAAAAGGCTGCAACAGGCCTTATACTAACTCCCCAATGGTTCAGGGAAGGCTTGTTGCATCGCAACACTCGTGAAAATGGTGTGCTTGCTCGTGCAACAAAACCGCGGTCTCAAATTTGCCTTAGCATAAACTTATGCTCTGGATCTCACGTCGCCTGATGTTGCAAGGCCCAAACCTGCGGTCGCCTCTCTGCCCTTGCGTCCCACCTCCGTTGTGAAGCAACGGAAGGCCATCATCAGCACCCATTAACTATTCTGAAAAGTCGCTACAGGATTGCCCAAAGTGCGGAGATGACCGACAATGCCTTGGCTTCAGCTGAGAATAAAAGAAAAAATCAACGGGGCCGACAGCAGGCCCAGACTGTAGATGTGCGTATGACGCGAGGCGTTGTTGAAACACGCCGCCGGGATAGTGCTGTGTGTGTGAAAGAGATTGAAGCCACCTGAGAATGTATGCGTGCAAACCCTGGCACAATCCAACGCATTGACCCCTAAACCCTAAACATCCCGAAACCGTTTCCATCCGTTTCTACTGCCGGCTGTGTTGCAGGCAGCACCTGTCACGTGCGATGGGGGAGTCGGCAGTGCAGCCTCCTTGCAGGAGCAGGTTTCGGGCTTAGGGCTGTAAAAAGTTACCCTAAGGGTTCATGTATTCATACAGCATATACATGGGCCCTAAAGTACCAATATGGGGACTTAGGGTGTGTAAAGGCTTTACTGCTGAATGGGGTTTTGGATTATTTCCGGTGCAGGCCAAGCCGGCCATGTAGCACCACCGACTGGCCGGAGCGTTTTCCTCAAACCCGTGGAAACCCCGCTCCAGCTCTTTCGTGGCCAGGTTGTGGATCGTCTCCTGGCATCGCGCCAACTCAACATGCAATCAACTGCGATGCCGCAAGCCCGTCTCCACCAACAACTGCAACCAAGGCACTTCAAGTTCAACCCCTGACTTGATCGTAATTGATCCTGGCGGTTCTTCCCGCAAACTCTGGAGGACTGTCGCCTCGCTGAGGGTAACCTCGGTAAATCCATGCAGCAGCCGACAGAATAGCTGCCTGCCGTAACCATGCCACCAAGCAAACACATATCACTTATGATGCAGTCTGTTGGTGACCTACAGAATGCAAAAAAACATTTTGCCAAAGGCGCTTCGTGATCCACTAATGCAGGATCGCCGGTCTGGACGTACAACGAATACACAGGAAGTAGTAACCATTTCCTGAGGGGTTTGAGACCGTTTAAGGTTCAGCCCACAAATCCAATTCCATCGTGTTGGGCTTCCGCTGTGCGCGAACATGCTCACACAACAACTGGTTCAGCTATGTTCAGCTGCTTTGAGCGCAACAACCGATGGACCCCCAAGTTGCAACTTCAGTCATGTGCATTGGCATACTTCATAAACTTCACAGAAGGGAATCCTCAATGAGGCGAATCAACCACTCGCCAACATGGAAAAGAGTCACCAGATCTTCGCTGCAGACTTTTCGTGGGATGCACAGACCAAACGAATCCTCGGAGTTTGTCACGCCGTGCGCACGGCTGTGTGTGTGCGCGCACACGGCGTGTGTGCACTTTTCTTATACGCACCTTTGAATTACGCGGTTTCATGAAGGAGCCAAGGTAAGACACTGAAGGGCGAATCTGGGAAATCCTGAATCTGACACTCTACGAGCAGCTACAGGTGTGCCTGCACAGCCCGAGCGTGATCTCGCAATTCTTTTTTTGCTCCTGCCCACTTCGTGTCCGGTCTGTGGGTCGCGCACGTTTCCTGGACAACACTTCCGAGGCACCGGCCGCCATTGGAGGTGGCGGGCCTGCGCGCCCCCAGCCTGCCCAGAACTCCTGCAACATTTTAACTTTTCATTTGTGGAATCATAATTCAGGCTGAGAGTGAAGCCAACACATTCCACTGGCATCCGCCCGTGGCACACGGAGCTACTAGGAATGTCAATACAGGCAATGAATCTGGCAATGAAACTGCCAACGGTGCCGCTGCTTGCTCTCATGAATACGAAGTGGCAAGGCGGCGTGGAACGGCAGCAAGATCACATGTATGCACGTCCGCCTCAACGTTCAACGTGATCTGCAGATACTGGCCCTCATAGAACGCGGCGACGCATCTGTCGACATGCATGATGTCGTGATTAGTTCAACTGTGGCTTCCGGAATTCTTCCGAGTTCTCCCAGTAAGTGTGATACATAGGAATGGTGTAAACTCCCCCTCGATACATAACAGTACCATCTTTCGACTCGTCGTATTTGTTCCGGCGATGCGGCAAGGTCAGAGGATGTCGGATGGCCATGGATGCCATGAAACAATTGTACTTGTTGCGACAACCCTCCTTTCAGCGTAAAACATGTAAAACAGGAAGCTTCCAGGGCCCGCAAATGTTTGGCAGCGACTCGCTCCGAGTGCGAGATGCACCTTTCCGACCTCACACCCGCATCTCGAGCTGCGCCTTTCGCTGTTGTCCGGCCCAAAAAAACTGGTTATTTTACCCTTCCCAACGTATAGCTTGCGTGTAATAACAAGACCATTCCGGCAGAATAAAATAACAGTTATCCGGGGCCGATAGCTGTTTTTTTTTTTTTGCCCGTAGGCCGNNCAAACCCCCAAAGGCCCCCGCCCACGACCCTTCAGACCCCTTCCCAAGCCATGCTGGATTCTGGACCTCCCAGACACCCTTCCCTAAACAACCTTTGTTCGGGTTTCTTCTGATGTGTTCTGATTCTGAAATTACTTGAGGTCGGCGACATTCGCAAATCGGATGTTAGTGATCTCTCCTTTACTTTTTTGTCCCTCTCGCCCTGCCAAAGCCGCGAAACAGATTTCCTTGACATTTGATATGTGCTATTCTCTTGTTGGTGCATTACATGGGGCTTGGGACATGTTACGGTTTCGGGGTCTTGCTCTTTGAGGTGTGATTCGTTCTCGACGATTATTACTTGTGGATTCTGTAGTGTTTATGCCAAATGTAAGCATTGATCTGTTGGCAAGGGTCAGGGTTACTTCAAGGCCGGGTAACTGTTATTTTATCCGATACAACGATTTTTTATGGCTGTGAAAACTGCTATTTTGCTCGAGATAATTGATTTTTTTTTTTCCACACACCTTTTT